ATTGCTTAACCTTTAATTACTTCTTTTTTTTGTTTTGAGTCCACACATTACCTGATTGAGGCCGACGAACTTAATGATAAGCGCAAGACGCTCTGCACGTATCCACCAAAGGCTTTGGCTTACTAACTAAGGAAGTCGTAGCAGGTCTAGGTCCCGATCTGGAAAAAAGGGTGATCCCACAGTGAGAAAGAAGTACTAAAATGTTGCTTTCTAAGCCTGCAAGTGCCTTCTTATGCGCAGAAAAAAATATTTTCTGAGGGGAATTGCATACCTTCTCGTCAAGTTTTTACTCGATAGGGATTGATTCTTACGCTTGCTTACACCAGGTCTACATGAGTGGAAGGATTTATTTGAGGAAGTTCACCGAGAGTCGTTGAACACGCCCAAAATACAAAATATCTAGTCCCTCTTTTTTATTTATGAAGACGAAGAAAAACTTTTGACGCGTCAGTCACAGTTTGACTACTAGTCTCAGCCATAGCCATAGTCGGGGTGGGTCACTGTTGTCCAAAAGTGGTGATGAGGATCTGTAGCAGTCCAAAAAGGTGTATATTCTCTGTTGTATTTGATGTATCATGCAAAGCTCAGAGCAGCGAGCACATCCCCGCCTCTTATATTTGATGGGTACAGATCAAGCATGAGCGTGGGACCTCACAAATGATGCTCTTACAATTGATTTACTTGATCATTGCTCATCAATCTAGTTGTTTGAAGCTACATCACCCAGAAAGAGAATTAACCTGAGACACTTATTGGACGATTACGACACCCTGAGTGCCTCGAGAACTGAGCCTATGTATCTTATGAGTCTTGGGAGTGTTTTGTCTTGCAATACACCTTGCAAGATGCTGGTGAAGGAAGTACTCAATTTGATCCAGCTGAATCCAGATATTCAATCATTAGAATTCAGAGGTCGAAGTTACCCTAAGTGAAGGCTATGTGCATCCCCGCTCACGGAAAGGGGGAAACGGGAGCCGTTCAAAAGGCACCTGTGTGTGATACTGTGGAAATGAACAGACCAGATCTGACGTCGATTTGAAGTAAAACCAGTACTGAGGAGAAAGTTGAAAGTCCGGAAAGGAGAGTTATCACTCAAGTGACAGATATCAGAGTCATCATTCAGGTGATAGTAATCAGAGTTATCCTTCAAGTGATAGTAATCAGAGTTATCATTCAAGTGACAGTAATCGGAACTACCATTCAGACGACAACAATCAGATTATCAACCGAATCAGAATCAGCACTAAGAAACAACTCTCAAAAGGCTCTTAAGCAGCAATCGGACAGCCTATAGTTGACAATCACTGGCTACTCTATCCAACCCTTGACACCTGTAGAGCAGGCCACCGCTAGGTCTTACACCGGACTGCCTTCGAAGGAGTGAACGCCAACGTTCTAATCAAGAACATCATTGTTGGCTGTCTAACCAATTCTTGGTCCGAGCCTTGAGAAAAGAGAGGGTGTTCTGAAATAAAGTGAGATCTTGGTGATAAAGCACCGAGTGAACAGGGACAAGAGGGAAGGATGGGAGAAAAATGCATGCAAAGATATGGAGATATTCAAACTAGTACAGAGGGAATTCGCAGTCAGAACCGCATGAGAGAGAAAATACATAGAATACGTAATCTATTTCTACGGGCTTGGCAACATTCTGCACAGTACCTGTTCTTCGCTGGAAACGGTGGAACAGGCTAGGGTGAAGTTTGCGTGAGCTCAGTGATACTGTGATTACTTTCTCCCCAAAGCTTCAACGATATTTGAAACCGCACAGCATTCACTCTCGGTTAGAAACGGTTGAGCGGGCGAGTAGCGATTCGACAGTGTTCAAAAGAGGCACTCGGGTTACCGAAACCTTGACTCGGATAACTGATTTCAGACTCAGCGCTCTGAACGGTATCTAGATCGGAACTCAAGGACGGTACTTAGAACTGTATCTGAAGTCGTACTCCGGACAGTACCCAGAACTGTACCTGAGTCGTACTCCGGACAGTACTCAGAACTGTACTCAGTACTGTACTCGGGGCCGTACTCAGAGCAGTTCTCGGGACTGTACCAGAGACTGCGTTCAGAACAACTCATGGAAAAGGTGTTCAGAATGATATCTAATTGTGGATTCAGTCGCCACCCAATTTGTGTTTTCAGCAAACAGCGAACTCAGACAGCAACAAACATTCTTTAGCAAGTGATTAGTCTTCGGGCCAGCAAGCAGTCAGTTTCCAGAACGACAATCAGTCAGTGGCATCAAGTTCTCAGACGGGAATCAGCGAACAGGGGCCAGTTAAGTAAGTTACGAACTGCACTTCAGGGCGGCAATCTTAGTGACAGCGGACAAACGACAACTTGAAAACAATAATCAGAGAACGACAACCAAGAACAGCAACGGGAAAACAACAATCAGAAATCAATTATCCAAACAGCAGTCTACCCAAGAGTCTTTTCATGCTTCCACCATTCAAGAGTCTCTCGTTTTGAGTTGGGTGATGATGTGGTGAAAGTTAAGTGAAAAGCATGGACAGCCGCAACACAGTTAGAGTCTCCTGTTCTCTGTATCAGGGCACTGCTGAGACCTGGAGGGAGAGTGCAGTTGAGGAATACAATCAGCAGACCACTACAATGATGGAACACGCGCTGTCCCTTGTGAGAAGTCATACGAAAATCGAGTACACATACTTTCTGCACAACAGGAATGGAAAGTTATGTGCCATCATGACTTCTGAAGGTACTGTTGAGGAAGCAAGGAGGACCGTTGGCAGCCAACTGTGAGCATTTTGCCTCTGAACAGGAACACCTCACTTTATCCTGGCATTCAACAATCAGTTATTATTAGTGATCAGTTCAGTAATCAGTTTTTCAGCCCAAACTGCCTTTCGTACACGCTTCGAATGCTCGTCAATACAGAACAGCGCATACTCATTTCAGCACACGTGTACATTCCCCGACGTGTTTCGGTCCGTTGCGCTCCGATCATCTTCAGGGGGTTAACCACACACCCTCGCCTTGCGGCCCACTAGACAGAGAAGAATAAAAGAATATAGGAGTAAAAACTCGAAAGTCTCATTTTCTAAAGGGAGTGCTGCCCAAATTTTTGCTAATTCAAGGAGTTAGACAAAATTTAACTTTGGAAAGTCAATGTCATTTATAGATTCTAAACTTAGCCTTGTAGAAATCTTGGTAAGTCACTTTCTCTACAGGAAGCGCTGCCGAAATTTATACAAATCTAAGAAGTTAGTTAAATTCTAAGTTATTTATCATGTTCGGCTGGATTAAGTGACCGGAATATCCGACCGCTTTATCCAGCATATGGCTTAAACCGGAATTCCATACAAATCGAAAAATGCGCGGAAAAAAAATAATAAAACATATATATATATATATATATTATATATATATATATATATTATATATATATATATATTATATATATATATATATTTGCGCTTACATAGGACTGCCGCAGGTTCAAATCTGAGAGTCTTTTGCGAAAAACACATTGAATATCCATTGTAGTGTCTCCCCTTCAATTGGATAACGATTTTGTTTTTCTGTTTGTTTGTTTGATTGATTGATTGATTGAGTGATTGATTTAAGAAACAAAAATAAAAAGTAGGTTAGGGGGCTGAGCAGCGGGTGAGAGGGGGTTGAGGCGAGACAACTTGCCTCTCATTCCCCTAACTCGGCGCCCTCCCCCCCCCCCCCCCCCCCCCCCCCCCCTCCTACTTTCCTCCTCCTTCGCCTTTTCTTCGTCCTCCTCCCTCTCATCCTCTTCCCCCTCTTTCTCCTCCTCTTTTTCGTCCTCCTCCTCCTCTTCCTCCTTCTCTTCTTCTTTCTCCTCCTCCTACTTCTCCTCCTCCTCCTCCTCCTCCCCTCCTCCTCCTCCTCCTCCTCCTCCTCCTCTCCATCCTCCGTCTCCTCCTCCTCCTCTTCCTCCTCGTTTTCCTCCTAGTCCTCTTCTTCCTCCTCCACCTCCTCCTCCTCGCCCTCCTCCTCCTCGCCCTCCTCCTCGTGAGTTACATTTTCAAACTACAATGCCGTTTACTCGTCCGTCGAATACAACACCCCCACACCTAACCCTAAAGCTAGGTTGTATATGTTCAATCAATCAATTAATTAATTAATTAATTAATTAATCAATCAATCAATCAATCAATCAATCAATCAATCAATCAATCAATCAATCAATCAATTAAATTGAATCAAACAATCAATCATCAATCAATCAATCAATCAATCAATCAATCAATCAATCAACCAGCTATTCATTCATTCAGGATCTGTCGATTTCGGTGGAAAGTTTTGTTGACATCGACGAATCTTGATTCCTTGATTGATTGATTGAAAAAAAAAAGAATCTGGTTAGTCATTTCAGGTTTATGACTAATTAGACGACGAGGCATTTACTAGCTTCAGCCTGTCATAGGTACTTCTGCTGTTATCAAGATGACGAGGACGAGGTCGCCGTCGACAAGTAGGAGGAAGGAAGAGGCGATGGAGGAGGACGAAGAGGAGGAGAAGACGATGAAGGAGGAAGAAGAGGAGGAGGAGGTGGAAGAGGAAGAGGAGGAAGAGGAAGAGGAGGGGGGAGAGGCGGAGGACAAGGAGGAGGAAGAGGAGCAGGCGATGAAGGGAGAAGAGGAGCACGGTGAGGAGGAGGAGGAGAAGGAGGAGGAGGAGGAGAAAGAGGCGATGGAGGAGGAGGAAGAGCTGGAGGAGGAGAAGGAGGATTAGAGGAGGAGGACTAAGTTGGGGTAGCGGCTGGCTCCCCTCACCTCCGGCTTTTTGTGTTTTTTTTTCAAACAATCGGCTGACTCCCCTCCCCTCCACCTTAATCAATCAACCAATCAATCAATCAATCAATCAAGATTCGTCGATTTCAACGGAACTTGATTGATTGATTGATTGATTGATTGATTGATTGATTGATTGATTGATTGATTGATTGATTGATTGATTGGTTGATTGATTGGTTGATTGATTGTTCCGTCAAAATCGACGGATCTTGA